AGAAAAGACACGGCTGGGTCAAAAGGGGATTTGCAAAAGACCCTCTGCAGCAGATTGGCAGCATTTGAAAAGCACAGGGCTGTGCCTTTACTCACATGCTTTGATTGCAAACCTTGCAGGCAAAACTGGGTCACCCAGGATTGAGAGGTGGGCTGTCCTGACCGCCTATGAGTTCCGCACCCCTGGGTTAGATGAATCTTTGATCTGATTCAGCAGCGCTAGTCCTTATTTTATTTTTTTAACACACAGTTGTGGCACTACCACAATCATTAACCATGCTGTAGAGCAGGGGTCAGCAAACTTACCTCGCCTCGGGCCGGTGTCTCCAGCACTGATCGTGCAGCGGGCTGGAGGGTGGGGGAGCGCTTCCAGTGCACTTCCGGGTTGGAGGAGCACCGGAAATAGCTTGTGCACATGTGCACGGCCTCCTCTGACCCGGATGTGCACCAGAAATAATGCTTGCGTGTGCGCAAATAACGCGTGCGCATGCGCACAAGCTATTTCTGGTGCTCCTCCGACCCGGAAATGAACAGCTGCGCAGTGCTGTGCCGGTAAGAGTGGGCAGTGGCAGCGGGTGGCGGCGGGCGCCGCAGGCCAGATAAGCGAGTCCCTCGGGCCTTATCCAGCCCGCGGGCCTCAGTTTGGGGACCCCTGCTGTAGTGCAGCTAGACAAAAAGCAGCTGTAAACTGATACCAGTTTACTGGTCTGAATGCTGTGGTAATTAAATGGGGAGGGGGAGATCTCATCAGTATGAGGAGGAAGCAGCAATTGGTCACAGGGCTTGCCTTCCGCTTCTGTGCATTTATTTCATTTTATTTCGTGTATGCTACACAAATCTTCCAACCATCAAAACGCGTGCAAGGAAAATTAACATTGAAATGCAATCCCCATGAGCAGGAGAGCCTGTGTGGCATTGTTCTGCATTCTTACAATTCCGCAACATGCCTCTTAAAAACAAGGTTGCTGCCTTGATCACCGTGTCTATAGACGGTAAGTGTAAAGTGACCCAAGTCCACTACAAGGGCATCTTGTTCCTTTCACAGAGAGGAACACAGGTGCAACAAAGCCCATCCACCACATACACTGCAATGCAACAGCAGCAGTGCCACCGTGTTCCATTACAAAGAAAAACAAATAGCCCCCCTAAGCCCAGTTTAAAAAGCTATACACGTCTTTTCGCACTTTGGAGAGGGCCCTGTTCAATTGCCACATCATCTGTTACTTTACGCACTCCGATATGCTGTAGGCAAATGGAAAACAAGATTACTCTTGTCCAATCAAGAAGGGATTTGCATGAAGTATTTCGGGGCTCCTGGGTACTTGGATACCTTATCTAAAAAATAGGGCATTTGAATAGGTACTGAGAACCCGGTTAACTATTTAGGAAAAAACTATTTATTTATATCTGCCTCCCACAATCCAGTGCCCTCCAGATGTTCCAGGACTATAACTCCTATTAACTCTGACCACTGAATCAGGATGCACTAGACCAACAAACAGAACCAGCACCTGTTCATTGAACATATTGAGTGGAGGGGAGATGTGGAAATATAAAAACATGGAGGGGGGGGGGCGGGAATCCATTTTGGATTTTTTTTCTGCCCAGCAATATCTGAAGAGCACCTGGTTGGGGAAGGCTGGTACAGGATCACCTTTGATAAGCAACCAGCTCTGGTGTGATCATTCCTGGAGGAACGAAAGATATTGGCACATCTCTCACAAACAAAGATCTGTTCCAATGCAGAACCAGGTCAAAATGTTTACAAAGGCATATGTGCATCTTTCTGCCAGTGTATGCATTACTATATTAAAACTTGCACCACTCTGGAAACTGGAGGTTCTCATGCAATCAGAGCTATCCTGCAAAAGCAGAATTAATGGGGGGGAAATGGCGTATTAGTGAAGACATCTGGCATGTTATAACAAGAAAAGTTGCCGTTGCTGTCTGGGAGCCAGTAATCAATTTTTTGCCTCCTCCAGCTACTCTATCATTACACTGAATTAGGATCTGCGAGTGAGGGAGATATATTAGATCATGGTGCACAGCAGAGCTTTGCCAACCGGATCTGGTTCAGATCAGACTAAAACAGTTTGGCAGTCTGCTGTGCCCTTAAAAACAAATCAATAGTGTTACTCTCTATGCTGCAATGTGCTGGGTGCCAGGAAATGTTAAGGTTTCCTGGAGAAAACACACACACAGACACTGACCCCTTTCCACTTTCAGATACACTCAAGGACAGCCAGTGGAAGGGCAACCAATTAATTTTAGATTTAAATCTGCATTTAAAAAACACACACACACAACTGCAAGAGGCCACTGGAGAAATACGAGTGATCAATTCTAGGCAAGTCAGTCAGCCAGCAATTAACGCAAAGGCAAAAGTTTGCAAAGAGAACTGGAGTAATGAGGAAAATTTACAACTGGGCCACCAGTTAATGAGCAAGAGAGACCTGGTGAAAGAGGCAGTAAAACCACTCTAATATTATGGCAAAAGGAGAATAGACTGGAGCCAAAATACAGCCCAAGGAAGATTTTGGGAGGGATTTGGGGCGGGGGAAAGAGAAAGGAGAGCAACTTCAAAAAGAGGGTATTTAACTGGACTATCCATACGGCTTTCCTTGCTGCCAAGATTCCATAGTGTCACAGGAATAAGGATATCAAGCCAGAACAGCCTTGAAAAGATTTTTCCCCAGGCTTCAGTCCCTTCCATTCTGAAATCAGGCTACATTTTGGAGCTGAAAGGGCTCTCCTGCCAATGAGCAGCTGAGCTCCAGACCTGGCACTTGTCTGCTTCAAACAGCAGCACAGCCAGCAGCGCCGGCAAAGGTGCAATTGAGAGCTCTTGGTCTGTACTGGGTGGTCTTTGTGAGAGTGTGAGATTTATGCCAACAGAGACTGAAGGCTGCTCCTCTTGGCAGTGTTAGAAACTCAGATATATAAGCCAGGTGCCAAATGGCACCTAGGTTACGGTCACCACAACGGAAAGTCTATTCGCAAGGGGGTTGGACTAGATGACCCTTGGGATCCCTTCCAATGCTACAATTCTACGATCTCAACTACATTGCTTGGCTGTAGCTTGCTCTTACAACAATTCACTTGTCCCAGGATGCAAGAAGGAGAAACAAAGAAAGTGAAAATGGAAATGGTATTAACTGCAGAGCTTTTTAAACTGTTGTCACCAACCTAGCACCCAGAAATCACCACATAGTCGCAATTGGACCCACTCCTGTAACACCTCCTTTCTGCAGCTATTCCTCCGCTCTCCATTTATTTATTTATTCCCGCCCCCAACCCGTGCAAAGCTGTGATCACATAAATAAAGTAAGCGTGAGCGAGTTACCTATATCACTGTGTGCTATTTGTATGGTATGATAATGTATTTTCCTTTCATTCACGGTTCCCTGAAAGCTCTTATGGGTGAATAATGCAAAAACAGTCAAGATGTTTCTAACAGTTACTGCTTCTATGTTGTAAAATGAAATAAAAACATTTTATTTCATTTTTGAGGGGGGGGGGGAGAGAGAGAGAGAGAGAGAGAGAGAGAGAGAGAGAGAGAGAGAGAAGCAGGCAGGCAGGCTGTAAATATAGCTATTCCATAAAAGAAAAGTCAGCATCATGGTTAAGAGTTATACATCACTGCCACCCTAAGCTAAATGCAAAATCTGAAAGCAAGAGATTTAAGAAACACAAGGAGGTTGTCAGATTGTGCAGTGTGTGTGTGTGTGTGTGTGTGTTGTTGTGTTGTTGTTTTTTAAAAAGAAGATATACATAAAGGTACTAAAACATATTGTGCTCCGCTTCCCACGCTGTTTTGCAGACAGCTTTAATGTGTTGTAGCAGACCAATACTGACAACAGAAGCTTCAGCTTTCATTGCTGTTAATACCCTAAGCAATTACTGTTGCTCAGCAGGTACTCCTGCCCAGAATGGCAACTCGCACTGTAATCCAACATTATTTTTTTGCAGGAGCAATTCCTCCTGAACACCAAAGCACCTGCTAATGTGCAAAATTGCATAAATGGGGCTTAAAACGTCTCGTAGCTTTAAAAGCCATCACTTTTTAAAAAAACACCCAGTATTGTTCATGTCAGAGTATTATTGAATTTGCTAGAGAGCAGGGATTGAAAGGGGGGAGTGGCATCAAAAAAGGCTTTTTTTTTTTAAAGGAAGCTGGACTGGCTCCAAAAATCAGAAGGATGTGAAAAATTACCTGTAAGGGGGGAAACTGTACATAATTGAGATCTCCGGGGGGTAAAAATAGCAGACACATAAATATTGAAACAGACTGTCAAAGTAACCAGGGAAAGGAAGCACATTCTCTAACACCGCAGCTTTACAACGTTAACCAGAAGCAGCAGGGGAAGGGGGCGAGAGAAAAGGGGGAAGGCAGGGAGAAAGAAAAAAAAGATAGATTTGGGGAGAGGAACAGATGGTGGTTTCCAGAGCTCAGCAACAGGCCACCCAAATATGTGTATTTTATTTAAGTTTTTGAAAAACCGATCTCTTTCTGACCTCAGAAGCAACCTGGTAGGAAGTTCCTACATAATGCTGTCTGAAGTCATGTGTGGTCAGCAGATGTAGGTGGCAAAGGATGGCAGACCCAATGGGCGTCATGTTCACATGGATCCTGCGCTCAATACACCTAAGCACACTTAGGCTCAGCTGGCACAGAATGCTAAGCCAAACCATGGCTTGGCAAGAATGAGCAACCAAGCAGGCACCTGGAGAGAAGATGGCGGCTGCTTTGTTCCTCCTCTGGACTTTCCACTGCTGGGCTGTGGTTTGGTTTACAATTACATCTGAACCTGGACTTATGGTTTATCTCCCCCAGAGTGGTATGCCATAGAACAATCCTTGGCTACAGCTCATGTGGTGTGCCTGCAGATAAGCTTTGCAGCAGGTGACAAAGACACATCTCTGCCCAAGACCCAGTATTGTCCACACTGACTGGCAGAGACTCGCCAGCATTTCAAAAAAGGGAGGCTCTCCCAGCCCTACCTGCAGATGCTGGAGATTCAATCTGGGATCACCTACACGCGGAGCGGGTGCTCTACCACTGAGCTATGTTCCCAAGGTTGGTTACATAAAAAATACAAATAAAAGACAACAGAGGACAGTGTAACCGACTTAAAAGAGTCAGCAAGATATCAAAGGTCAATGTAAGCACAATAAGAAAAGGTTAAAATTATACCGAAAGTGCTTGGGAAAATAAAAAAAGGTCCCCCGTCTCCCCGTAAGCTAGATGCCAAGTCATCCAGGGTAACTTTCCACAGTTTGGCCACCACTAATGTGAAGGCCCTCTTCCCAACTTGCCATCCACCCCACCTCAGACGGCAGGAGTATCCACAGAAAGCCCTCTGCTGAAAACAATAAGGCAAGGTGTGGGAAACCTGCGGCCCTCCAGATACAGCTGAACTACAATTCCCATCAGTCTCAACAAGCATGGCCAATGGCCAGGGATGGTGGGAGTTGTAGTTCAACAACATCGGGGGGGCAAAGGTTCTTGTCTAGTGAGTCTTTGCTGAAGATCTTAACCTACAGCTGCATATTGAGGCTAGGATGCATGGACAAAGTCTGGCCTGGTATGTAGCGGCTTCCTATGTTCATACCTAAGTCCACAATGGTAAACATGCAAGCAAGAGGCACATACTGTGTGCAGGTCATAAAAGTAAGGCATTTCTTCCTTATCGTCCATAGGTGCCACACATTTATAGCTTATGAGAAATTACCAGAAGTGCACTAAAATATAACATTGTAGTAACCGTAGTAATTACATAAAGTGGCACCTAGTAGCAGCCCATGTTCAACCTCACAATGCAAAAATAACAAGAGATAGGTAAACAAGAATCATGACTGTGGAGAGTAGCAATTGCCAGGAAGGTTTTGGTTGCAATAAAAAGTAGTCTTTGAAAAGTTCCCAATATTATGGTTTTAAAAATTGCTGTTGCTTACCAATTTGAAGTCTTGAATGCTACAGATGAAGTATGGAGTGTTTGGTCGCCGACTCTCAATATACACGCAATCTTTAAAAAAGAAAAAGAAAAGAAGAGAGTTAATCTTAAATTTATGGCAGCTAGTTCCTCTAGCCTGACAAAAATGCAGAGAAACCACACAACCTTTTCTATTAGATGAACAACTCACAATGAAAAGTACTATAAAATGTGATCTAGTGCAAAGAAAATAAATGAATAAATAGGTGAATAAAAATGTTTCTGCCTGGCACCCAAAAATGGGGCTAGGCGTGCTTCTTTAGGGAGAGAATTCCCTAAGCAGGAAGCCACCCCTGAGAACACTCTCATGCGGCCACTCTCGGCACTGTCTGCTAAGGGGGCACATGGAGAAGAACCTCATGACAAACGTACGGTCAGGGCTGGTTCATGTGGGAAGAAGCAGTCCTTAAGGTACTGGAGTCCTGAGCCACATATGGCTTTTGTGACACTTTATATTGTTTTAAGGATGAATTCTCTGGTGAACTGTATCACAAAAACAAGTACTGCCAGAGTGATCCCCATAATTAAACTGGCGCAATGACCAGGTCACAACCTAACACAGTTATGTCAATCAAGACAGGAAACAAAGTCAAACTTCTTGCAGTTAATAGTCATTAAAAATCCAACAGTGATAACCTAGTTTTGCTCCTAATCGTGAAATCACTTACTCTATGACAAGCACAAGTTATTTATATGCTGTATGACCTTTCAAAGTAGCCTCTACTGTAAAATTGGACAACATATCCTACAACACCCTAATTCTATATTTTTCACTACAGACTTTATTGTCACTGCCTCTTGATAAGAGGACAGGAAAACTCATGTTCTTTCATTAGATGAGAATGGCTTTTTGCTTTTTTGCTTCCATGAAACAATTTATATAGGAAGATATAAGGAGGTAAGCTAGTAAGAGCCACTGTGGTATAGTGGTTATAATGTCGAACCTGGGAGACCCGGGTTCAAATCCCCACTTGACCATGAATTTTGATTTTGAGCCAGTCACTGCCTCTCAGCCTAACTTTACCTGACAAGACTGTTGTGAGGAATGAGGAGGGGAAGAACCATGCATACCATCTTAAGCTCCTTGGAGGAAAAGGTGGGATATAAATGCAACAACAACCATTTTTTAAAAAATCTGGTGCCCAAGTGGTTATATTTGTCATATGTTATTATAGCATAAAATGTGCCCCATTTATCAAGAAGCCACAGTAAAAAAAGGGGGGGATGGGCTGCACAAAATCAGCACCTGCATTGGCTTCAAGATGGCTAGCACTGGTGGACTAGATGTCAGAAAACAGGAAATCCTCTTTAGAGTGTCTATAAAACACTCCCCAATCTTTTGCAGATAGGCATCAAATGTTTTCCCGTTCTGGCTGATTTGCACATAATGTAGCATCCAGTGTGTCTGTGTGTATGATCCATGGTGACTCAAGTTCCCCAGATGGAACTTCCTCAAATACAGGGCTCTTTGAGAAAGTCCATTCAGACTAAAAACTGCAGGGCTTCTCAAGCAAGAAGAAACAACTCTACTTGTCAACAGGCAGCTACATTACTAATCCAAAACTGAGAAGGGAACTGCAGTTGTTGAGGGGTTTTTGAGGAGGAGGAGGAGGAGGAGGAGGAGGAGGAGGAGGAGGAGGAAGAAGAAGAAGAAGAAATTCTGCTATTATAATTCTCTGCAGGAGAAAGTTTCCATTTCTAAAAATGTCTCGTTTCATAACATTAATTAGTAGCAGAAATAATGGTTACAATACCAGTCAAATCTGACAGTGTTTAAAGATGCAATTAACATCTTAAAAATCAGATCCCAAGTCGATTTAAGACACCGGGAAATTTTCTGATTCAGGTTTCTTTCTTTCCTTGCACCGCACAACAAACCCAGTATCCCCTGGTTAGGGTGGGATGGGAGTCTGGTGACACCAGAGCGCTAATAACATGCCACTGTCCCAATATAAAGACCCAGAAAAGTTCCTGCCTTTCCTCAGTCTGGAAACCTCATTGCTGAGAGGGATGGTCAGGTAGGTTCCTTCCAAACTCCTAGGCTGCCCTGCTTGCCCCAAGGGACCAGTGGTTTTTCCCCTAGAAAAATAGGTGCTGGTACTCACCATGAAGTTGTTACCATAAATGCCACAACAAAAAGGAGGTGCTGGTACTGGGTACCCTTGAGTACCCCCTGGAGAAAAAACCCCACTGCTTGGGTCCATTTTTTAGCCAGAGTCCCAGACACATACTCCCTTCCCACTAGAAGTTTGGGTGCAGAATAGGGGTTTGCATGGGTTAAAACAGAAAGATTGAGGGACCTCCAGCTATATCATTAACCTCTTCAGCTGCCCCCTCTATCTCCTTGTCCTTTAGTCTTAGGCTGCATCCTGTTTATTACTTCCTCTACCACACACTTCCTTCTCAGACCTCAAGACAAGAGTTCGCCTTCTAAATATCCTCTGAGAGAAGAAGAAATGAGCCAACATGACTAGCTTGTTCTCCTCTGGACTAGTTAAAGACTAGAACTAGAAACCTTTTCTAGCAGAGTTATGCATCTACGGCAATAAACAACTTTATTATTTTCTTACTGAAAAGCAAAAGGAGCCAGTGTGGTGTAGTGGTTAAGAGCAGAGGACTCGTAATCTGGTGAACCGGGTTTGATTCCCTGCTCCTCCACACGCAGCTGCTGGGTGACCTTGGGCTAGTTACACTTCTCTGAAGTCTCTCAGCCTCACTCACATCACAAGGGAGGAAAGGGAAAGGAGATTGTTAGCCGCTTTGAGACTCCTTAGGGTAGTGATAAAGCGGGATATCAAATCCAAACTCCTCTTCTTCTTCATATCTGTGCAATTGTAATAGGTAAAGCCTACTCTCTAACCCAGATTCACTAGCCAAACACGGCTCACTTGGCATTCTAAAGGTAATTGATCTACCAGCTCTAGCTGAAATTCACAGGGGTTCCCCCCAACCTCCGTCTCCGATCGACTCATTTAACCCCACTACATAGAATTGAGGGGGAATGGGAAAAGAGAAAGGGGGTGGGGACAATCAAGTGAGGCAATCAAGAGTGTCTCTTCTTTCCTTGTTTAGTTTTCTTCCTTTTCTTGCCCAGGAGCTGCAGATGGCTCCTGAGACACCGTTTGGACACGACGACGTGCCTCTTCCTTTTCTCTCTTGCTCACTTTCTGGAAGCGTACATGCTGTTCTGCCAAGAGGCATATCTGTGAATAATCCACATGCAGAATATATTGTATGCTCTCTCTCCCTCTCTCTCCCCATTGCTTTAATACCTAATTGTTGAAGAAGTGGGAGGGGAAAAGAGGAGGAAAGGAGACAGAGTCGAGCAATAGCTCTCCTTCTACATCTCTTTACAGCCAGCAATTCTAAGAGTGCATTATCTTCACTATAAAGTCTCTTACGTTTATGGAAATATGTCTTTCATCCTGAAAGATTATACACCACAAGCTGAAATTGAGGCCGTATGCTGAGGAATTAATTTCTTCGATCACTGGAGAGGAAGAGAGAGGGAGAGAGAGGAAGGGAGAGAGAGGGAGAGAGAGGGAGGGAGAGAGAGAGAGAGAGAGAGAGGGAGAGAGGGAAAGGCCCAACCACCTCAAGGGATAAAATTCCTGCAACTGCTTAAGTGTGATACCACAAAATAATTCAACAGGGTGGAATGCTTAAAAACAAACTGACATTGAAGGATGAATTTAGATAAGCTGAGAGTATTATCAAAGATGGGATTTGACAGAATTTAAGCCTCTGGTTCTTTTGTGATAGGAGTGATGGGGTTTTATGCTGCCAGTGAGAGGGGGGAAGAGAAGCACACCTCATGTCAATGATTAGATACAAGATTTCAGTTTACAGCATCACTAACAAAGAGACTAGGACAGGGGCCACTCCATATACTGCACCTAATTCAGCCACGCAGGTAGAACATAGTCTCTCTCTGCCCTACTTGGATATGCTGAGGGTTGGACCTGGGAACTTCTACATGCAAGGCAGATGCTCTCCCACTAAGCTTTGACCCACCCCCTATGGTAGACAAATATTGTGTTCGCAGCATGGTTGGAAAAGGTGGTCCAACTGCCTCTAGCACTTATTTGTCCCTTAAGTTGAAACACAATTCGGGAGAAACTAGTATAAGAACACAACAGCCATGCTGGAACAGACCATCTAGTTCAGAATTGGTGGCCAACCAGCACTGGAGGAGGTCAGGGGTGGTGATCTGGAAGCAAAGCACGCAGCAAGCAAGTAAGCCGGTGGGGACAATCCAAAAAGCGACTTTGTCTTCACTCAAAAGAGCAAGATGCTCACATTGAGGAGCCTGGCCAAAGCCTGAAAATTTATAGGATCAAGAGGAATCCTATTGGCCCTATCGTGTCACCTGATAAGCGCTGCACTAGAAGTTGCAGTATTGCAGCCAGCCGCACCAACCAATGCTGATCTTGACTGGTATATCCCAGTCCTGGCAATCAGCTGCAGTGGCAGACAGTATAAGGTACCTGAGATTCGCTTGCCAACAACCTGGGATGAGAGAATGGCAGGCAGGCAATCAAAATGTCACATCCATCCAGCTGGACCCAACATGTGAAAAATCATAACATATCTGAAGCTGTGGATCAGAATGTCTCACTTGGCAGTGCAAAAAGAAAAGAAAAAAGAAGAGGAGGGGAAGAAGGGTGAACAGGAGGTTTCTCCTTTGCTGCTTTTAAACCAAAGCCTCTTTTCAAGCGTCAAGCTGTAGCCTGTGTTTGAACTATACACCTTGGACTTCCACCTCGCTGGCACTTCATCATCAGGAAGCAGATTCCTGGCATGTCAAGTCAGCTTGACAAACCTGCACTCACCAGATGCATCCTGGTAGAGCTAGCTGCAAATTCGTGACTCAGCCCACTAAAGCACACAGAGATGAACTCAGATATCATGAGGTTCTACAAAGCTGTTTGTGGTTTCTCAGAAGTTTAAGATCTTTCAAGAGGGTTTGTGTTTGTGGTTCCCTCCCCCATGCATTTTTTTTGGGGGGAGGGGGGTAAAGTTGAAAGATAAAT